GGGAGAAATCACTTTCTCCTGCCACTTGGACTTAGCATTTCAGCTGTCCCCAGGACAAAAGCTTCCATAGGAAACTTAATTCTTCCCCCATAAGCTCAGAGAAGAGCTTTTTTAATACCCGTAAAGCCCAAAGATAAATTTTTCCCAGTTTGCATTCATAGCCCCCAAAGTTAGAAAATTGAGTTTTTCTGTCCAGTTGCCTTACTTATCTTAAATTTTTTTCTACACAATCTTACACTTCTAAGTTTATCCTACACTATATTACTACACTATGCCTTATATTTTTCACAGATAGAAATTGAGAAAGGGATAGAAGATAGAAAATTTTGACAGAAGAGAATTTTGCGCTGCAGCATCAGACATCCTTCAAGTCTGCTTTCCTTTTCTCTCGATAAAACCCTGCCCCTCAATAAAATATATATATATATATATATATATATATATATATATATATATATAAAATACATATATTTTCCATAACACTGGCATGCCACTTTCCACTGGCAGGGCTGACTCGCACTTTCGCCAAAAACTCTAATAAAACTATTATTTTCCTTTATCTTTAGTCCCTATTTGTCTTTAGTCCTTGTTCATTTGTCTTTAGTCCCCCCTTTTTTAGTCCCCTCTTTTTTTCTTTAGTCCCTTTTTTCTTTTTTCTTTAGTCCCTGTTCATGGCGCCATTCTGTGGGGCGTTTACCCACCAACCCCACAGCTCACCAGAGTTTTCTTGAGTGCGAGCAGCAGGAAATATAAGATAGAAGGATTTAGAGTGTGGAGATGAACAGATAGAAAATAAAGGATAGCCTCGAGAGGGCCTGGAACCTATTCCAATGGGCCCTGACTGTCTCTGCCCCAGGGTTTTTATAGAGATACCAAGGGGTGGAGCAAAAGACCTCCTCCCCCAGCACAGCCAAGTGCAGACCATCTCAGACACCTGCACTCAGGCCCGTGGTCCTAATCATCCTCTATGCGGACCTGCTGGGTAAAGCCACGAGGAACCTGAAAACGGGCTCCCACAGAGCTGCACGGCTGTACCTGTGCAGGTATTGAGGGCTGCTGCATGGCGGACCTGTGCAGGTATTGAGGGCTGCTGCATGGCGGACCTGTGCAGGTATTGAGGGCTGCTGCATGGCGGACCTGTGCAGGTATTGAGGGCTGCTGCATGGCGGACCTGTGCAGGTGTTGAGGGCTGCTGCATGGCGGACCTGTGCAGGTGTTGAGGGCTGCTGCATGGCGGACCTGTGCAGGTGTTGAGGGCTGCTGCATGGCGGACCTGTGCAGGTATTGAGGGCTGCTGCATGGCGGACCTGTGCAGGTGTTGAGGGCTGCTGCATGGCGGACCTGTGCAGTTGTTGAGGGCTGCTGCATGGCGGACCTGTGCAGGTGTTGAGGGCTGCTGCATGGCGGACCTGTGCAGGTGTTGAGGGCTGCTACATGGCGGACCTGTGCAGGTGTTGAGGGCTGCTGCATGGCGGACCTGTGCAGGTGTTGAGGGCTGCTGCATGGCGGACCTGTGCAGGTGTTGAGGGCTGCTGCATGGCGGACCTGTGCAGGTGTTGAGGGCTGCTGCATGGCGGACCTGTGCAGGTGTTGAGGGCTGCTGCATGGCGGACCTGTGCAGTTGTTGAGGGCTGCTGCATGGCGGACCTGTGCAGGTGTTGAGGGCTGCTGCATGGCGGACCTGTGCAGGTGTTGAGGGCTGCTGCATGGCGGACCTGTGCAGGTGTTGAGGGCTGCTGCATGGCGGACCTGTGCAGGTGTTGAGGGCTGCTGCATGGCGGACCTGTGCAGGTGTTGAGGGCTGCTGCATGGCGGACCTGTGCAGGTGTTGAGGGCTGCTGCATGGCGGACCTGTGCAGGTGTTGAGGGCTGCTGCATGGCGGACCTGTGCAGGTGTTGAGGGCTGCTGCATGGCGGACCTGTGCAGGTGTTGAGGGCTGCTGCATGGCGGACCTGTGCAGGTGTTGAGGGCTGCTGCATGGCGGACCTGTGCAGGTGTTGAGGGCTGCTGCATGGCGGACCTGTGCAGGTGTTGAGGGCTGCTGCATGGCGGACCTGTGCAGGTATTGAGGGCTGCTGCATGGCGGACCTGTGCAGGTGTTGAGGGCTGCTGCATGGCGGACCTGTTCAGGTGTTGAGGGCTGCTGCATGGCGGACCTGTGCAGGTGTTGAGGGCTGCTGCATGGCGGACCTGTGCAGGTGTTGAGGGCTGCTGCATGGCAGACCTGTGCAGGTGTTGAGGGCTGCTAGCATAGGAGGTGTTTAGAGCTATAGCCGCAGATTCCTCCTTCAGACCCACAGACTCAACTACCACAGCTGTGCCAGACCGCCCGCTCATCACATCAGGTGTCCAGGTCTCCTCTGTTCCCTGAACAAACCATGTCCCTTTCCCAGCAGTATCTTAGGGCAAACCATTCCCATCTGGAACTCTCCCCACTCACTCTTTGATTTTCATTTTATCTTACTATTTTTTTTTTCATTTTTTAATATGTAGCTAAGGATGGCCTTGAACTTAAAAAATTATTTATTAGTATTGCATGTGTTGTAGTTTTGTTTTTTTTTTTTTACTCTTTTGGCTCTTTGCTCTTTTGGGAGGTCTGCCACACAGCTACCAAATAAATACACACATGGAGACTTATTATTACTTATAAATGCCTGCCTTAGCTTGGCTTATTTCTAGCCAGCTTTTCTTAAATTATCCCATCTACCTTTTGCCTCTAGGATTTTACCTTTCTCTATTTTTGTATATCTTTCCTTTCCTTACTCCATGTCTGGCTGTGTAGCTGGCCCTTTCTTTTCTCGGTCCTTCATCTTCTCTTCCCAGATTTCTCCTTCTGTATATCCTCTCTGCCTGCCAGCCCCCTCCTATCCTTTCTCCTGCCTTGCTATTGCCTGTTCAGCTCTTTATTAGACCATCAGGTGTTTTAGACAGGCACATAACACAGCTTCACAGAGTTAAACAAATGCAACATATAAGAATGCAGCACATCTTTGCATCATTAAACAAAGGTTCCACAGCATAAATGAATGTAACATACACCTTAAAATAATATTCCACAACAGTGTGTGCTCATGCATGCATGTGTGTGTGTGTGTGTGTGTGTGTGTGTTTGTGGTGTATACATGTGAGTGTGAAATTGTGTGCGTGTACCTGGGTCCATGAATATGCATGTGTGCATAAATATGTGTGCACGGGGTGAGTGTGTGTGCATGCATGTGGGGGTCTGAGGGCGACTTTGTAGCGTTCTCTGCTCTTTCACGGATCCTGGTTAACAGGGCTGTCATGCCTGTGTGAAGCTTTGCGGCTGCTGAGCCATCTCTCCAGCCTCTCGATTTAGTCTAAGATTTTTTATTGTATTTATTTTGTGGAGGAGAAAGAGTACACATAAAGACCAGAAGCCAAGCCTCGGGAGTCGGTCCTCTGCTGTACCCGGCTACAGTAACTTACCAGCCAAGGTCACCTGATACGACCACGAGGAATTCAACCAGGCCGGTTGGAGGGGCCACAGCACAATTGAGGCTGTGACAGTTTTATTGAGAGCAATCAGACTTTTTATACCTTTATTAGAAACAGAATATAATGGCAGCTGTCAGGATCAATACAGTTATGGTTGCCAGGACACAGTGAAGTTGGCGAGTCATACAGGGCACACACGATTAATGTCTAAGACCAATTGTCCTGTCAAGCTTCCCTGTTCTCTTGACTGCTAAGGGAGCACACAGAGAAACACAAAGCGGCCTTAATACTTCACTGCCTGGGGGAGTACATCAGTCTCTCAGGAACTGGAAGGCGCACAGTGCCCCAGGAGCCACAGACTTTAGCCTGAAAAACCCAAGACACCCGCCTTTCAAGGTGGCCAGGCCAAGCCAGCTCCGTGGTTCCCTGCACTTTCCTACCACCCTGCAGGTTCTAGGGATCATAGGGTCATCAGGCTTGCTGAAAATAGCCTCTACCTGCTGAGCCATCTCACTAGCCCTGGTTCTTAGTTAAGATGTGTCCTGTGAGCGTCACCAGCCTAGGTTAAACCAGCCCTGGACTCTCAGTGTCCTTCACATTGCCAGGGAGCACTCACCAGTGCTTTTTGAATAACGGATTGTGTGCTAAATGTTTTGGTTACAGTCCATTCCCCACCCACCCCCACCTCCCCACTCCCGCTTGACAGAGCTTCCTTTGGGGAGGCAGGAGCGTGTCTGTGTTGATACCTGTCTCTGCATTCCTTCCTGATCTCGTGCCCTCACTGGCTAGGACAGCCCGTGACTGGACTAGTGAAGGGGATAAATGGGAACACAGGTCAGCACCAGCAGCAGCCAGGCGCCTGAGGTCCTAGAGGCTCAGCAAAGTTTGCCACAGTTATCTAGATACATCTGCTACCGGAGCAGGCAGGACCCGCCTCTGCCGTCTCTGCTGTCACCCCGGCTCACAGCAGATCTGATGGCTGTGAATGGGAACTCCAGCTGCCTGCAGTGTGCCTTCAGTCTTCGGGGAGTCTCACCACTTTGCCATTGTTGACGAGACTGCCTCTGTAACCTGTCTCTTTGAGCAGTTAGTGGAAATTGGAGAGGGAAGAGGGGACAAGCAGGAAGCTGAGGCCTTTCGGACTTGGAAGCACCTGCAGTGCCCATGCCCATTGGGCCGTGTCTGAGTGACTCCACTTTCTCTCTAATAGTTCTCCAGAAACCTGCACAGCACCTTTGTGCTTTCAGAGGTTTGGGTGGCCAGAGTTGGGTGCTGTGGTGTGTTACACAGATATCCAGGAGGTAGATGGCCTGTTTTGCTCTTTCGGGAGCCCAGCACTGCCCTCCGGAGCTATCCTGGAGGACTGACTCCTTCCTTCCTGTGGTGTCAAGCATACAGTGGTTCTCACTGCAGCCCCCAGGCCTCTGTGTCAGTTCTCATCCTTCCATATCCTCGTCCCAGTGAAGCAGGCCCAGCAGGCCAGGGTATGCAGAGGGAACCACGGCCACCACCCTCTCCTCACCTCTGGCTCTTCTCTCCCCAGAACCGGTTCTCCGACTATGAGAAGCGAAAGGTAAGGCCCTCCCTGCCACTTTTCCTCTGGAAGATCGCAGCTCCTCAGAGACTTGGGGGACAGCTTCCTTCTGGCTTGCTTTAGACATAGAAGGCAGGCAGCTTGTCCCCACAGGAGCAGAAGATGCTGGAGAAGCTGGAGTTTGAGCGGCGCCTGGACCTCGGGCAGCGAGAGCATGCCGAGCTGCTGCAGCAGAGCTACAGTCACAAGGATGAGATCCTGCAGTCAGTCAAGCAGGTGAGTGGCCACACACCAGCCTGCCTGTGCCCCGGGGAGTGGCCACACACCAGCCAGCCTGTGCCCCGGGGAGTGGCCACACACCAGCCTGCCTGTGCCCCGGGGAGTGACCACACACCAGCCTGCCTGTGCCCTGGGGAGTGACCACACACCAGCCTGCCTGTGCCCCGGGGAGTGGCCACACACCAGCCTGCCTGTGCCCCGGGGAGTGGCCACACACCAGCCAGCCTGTGCCCCGGGGAAGTGGCAGAGCAGGGGATTAAGCTGTCCCACCATCCCCCTGGAAGCAAGAATGGAAGTCCTGACTAGATACCCTGGCCAGCCTCCTTGGGTACAGTGGACACTCATAGGCCTAGTGGGGAGGGAGGGACGAGCCCAAGGTCACAGAGGGCATGTAGAAAGTGAGATAGGAACTCCACTGTCCTTCCCCCAGTCAAACCCCGACTGTCTGCATCTGGGGTCCCTGTGCCTCCCCTGCTGCAGGAGCAGACACGGCTGGAGCAGGGCCTGAGTGAGCGCCAGCGCTGCCTCGATGCAGAGCGGCAGCAGCTGCAGGAGCAGCTGAAGCAGACCGAGCAGAGCATCGCCAGCCGCATCCAGAGACTCCTGCAGGACAATCAGAGGTCAGTCTGGCCAGCCCCAGATGCCCTCTGAGGGCAGGACAGTCTTCACCCTGCCCAAGCATTCCTCTGCCAGGATCCAAGGAAGGCGGTTCAGTGCTCTGATTTGCAGAGAGCCTATCCTGGGGATTACAGACAGTCCTCTGTCACAGGACTGCTGACTGCACTTCTCCCCAAGGCCCATTCCCCCTCTACATATTAGCAGGTGAAAACCACAGCCTGCTCCTGCATTCGGCTTCCAAGTAGCCTGTTTCCTGAGGGCATCCGCTCATCCTGTAGGTAACTAACTGTCTTACATAGGAACTACCAAGAGCCGTTCTTGATGGGGTTGGAGAGAAAGGAGCCGAGTAGAAATCTCAAGTCTGAAAACATCTGGTTAGGGGTCCACCACAGGAAGATTCTAGAAACTGGCTGTAGCCACATGCTCCACTAGCTCCTGCTTCCTTCTTCCTGGCCTTGGGTCCCCTTTCTTCTGTCATCTGTCAGTGACAGAGTCAGTGAGTGCAGGAGAGGAGATGCCCGGCTGGTGCTTCTGTGCCAGGCGCTCTGTGTTCCCACACTTGTGGTTTTTTCCAAGACAAGTTTCTCTGTATAGCCCTGGCTGTCCTGGAACTCGTTCTGTAGACCAGGCTGGCCTTGAACTCAGAGATCAATGGCCTTTGCCTCCCAAGTGCTGGGATTAAAGGTCTGTGCCACCACCTTATCCAGCCGCCTAAGAAGTACTTAGACTCTCCTGTCACAGAGAGCCTTAGAGGGCTTCACAGCCTGAGAACAGAGCTCCTGGGTAGTGAGCTCAGTGTGTGGTGAGGTGGGCAGCTTGGTTAGAAGCAGCATCGCTGGTGCTCACAGGGCCCATCTCTGGTTTTTCCCACAGGCAGAAAAAGAGTTCTGAGATTCTGAAGTCACTGGAGAATGAGAGGTGAGTGACCCTCTAGGACCAGTGTCTAGAGACAGTTCCCAGGGGCACTCCAGCTCTGGGGGACATGGCAACCGAGGGTGCTCACTGCTTTGGGGGACATGGCAACCTAGGGTGCTCACAGCTCTGGGGAATGGATATCTGGGGTGCTCACAACTCTCGGGAATAGGTATCCTGGGGTGCTCACAGCTCTGGGGAATGGCTACCCTGGGGTACCCACTGCTCTGGGGAATGGATACCCTAGGGTGTGCTCACTGCTCGGGGGAATATATACCCTGGGTGTGCTCACAGCTCTGGGGAGTAGACACCCTGGGGCACTTAGAGCTCTGAGGAATGGATACCCTGGAGTGCTCACTGCTCTGGGGAATGGATATCCTGGGGTGCTCACTGCTCTGGGGAATGGATACCCTGGGTGTGCTCACAGCTCTGGGGAGTAGACACCCTGGGGCGCTCACAGCTCTGGGGAAAGGGAGCCATAGGCTCCTTCCCTTGTACTGGGAAGTCTCCCTGGCACTCTAGGAGAATTACCTCTTGGCATCTAGTTAATAATAGCTCTTCTTTTAGTTTCTTTTTTTTTTTTAATTTATTTATTATGTATACAGTGTTCTGCTGGCATGTTTGTCTTCACTCCAGAAGAGGGCACCGATCTCATTACAGATGGTTGTGAGCCACCATGGGGTTGCTGGGGATTGAACTCAGGACCTCTGGAAGAGCAGCCAGTGCTCTTAACCTCTGAGCCATCTCTCCAGTCCTTCTTTTAGTTTCTTAAAATAAATGTACACTCTCGAGAAAAACTTAGAAATATGAAAGAAGGAAGATGGATCTGTAATGCCCGTCTGTATTTCAGCTATAAAACATGTTTAAAAATTCACATTTAGTCCAGGTACAGTGGTACACGCATTTAATCCCAGCACTAAGGAGGCAGAGGCAATCAGATCTCTGTGAGTTGTAGGCCAGCCTGGTCTACAAAGTGAGCTCCAGAACACCCAGGGCTACATAGACAGACCCTGTCCTAAACCGGAAATAAATGAATAAAGATTTTTAAAATCCACATTTGTAGAAATAAAAGAAATGTGATACTTCTGGCCCCCAAACCACAGCTGCTCAGGTTCCTTAAATAAAGTGAAATATTTGCCTAGAGCAGTAGTTCTCAACCTGTGGGTCATGACAAGGAATTTAATGACCCTTTCAACAGTGGTCTCCTAAGACCATCGGAAAACACAGATATTTACATTCTGATTCATAACAGTAGCAGAGTTACAGTTACGAAGTAACAACGAAAATGATTTTATGGTTGGGGGTCACCACAACATGAGGAACTGGATTAAAGGGTTGCAGCGTTACGAAGGGTGGGAACCACTGGCCTAGAGCCTCATACACTTCCCTGTCTGCTGTACATGCTTTGTGATACCCGATACAGTGTAGATGCTATGCAAATAGCAACTCTGCTCCATTGCTTAGGAGATCGCAGGGGGAAACACACTCATACCAGTATAGACACAAGACTTTTCCAAATATTGTTGATCAGCAGTTGCTTGGACCTGCAGACAGAACCTACAGATACAAAGACCAACTGTATCCCTCGTTGCTAGAAGTGGGCAGCATCAGAGCAGCGTGGACACAGCTGTAGGCAGAAGTTTCTGTCCCGCCAGCAACTCCCGAATATCCCCCGCCACTTCCCAAGTAATTGACTCGGAGGCCTATTAGTATTACTTATAAATGCTCGGCTGGTAGCTCAGGCTTATCTCTAACTAGCCCTTACACTTTAATTAACCCACAATTCTTATCTATGCTTAGCCACGTGGCTTGGTACCTTTGCTCAGTACAGCATTCTCATCTTGCTTCCTCTGCGTCTGGCTGGCGACTCCTGACTCCATCCTCCTTCTTCCCAGCATTCTCAACTTGGCTTTCCCACCTAACTTCCTGTCCAGCTACCAGCCAATCAGCACTTTATTAAACCAATTCGAGTGACAAATCTTTACAGTGTACAAGAGGATTATTCCACAGCACGCAGTGTAGCTCTTGAGATGTTTTGCATGTGGAAAGCAAAGGGTCCATCCCCAGGGTTGTGCTGGGCGTCTGTGGTGGACAGGAAGTACGGGCGGTGGCCTAAGTTTTCTCTCTGTCTTGGGATTTACCAAGACATCAGAGAAAGTAATAGTCACAGTTGGCGTGCAGCTGTCGTTCTAGCGTTAGGGAAGTGAAGCGGAAGTTCAGAAGGATCAGGAGTTCAAGGCCAGCTTCTACATAGTGAGTACTCATACCAGAAAGGGACTGAGAGATGGCTCAGTAGAGAGCTTCCCACACAGGATGAGGGTCTGAGTTCAGACCATCCTTAGCCTCTGCATAAAACCTAAGCATGAGAGTGCATCCCGCCATTGCAGGACGGGGGTGGGCTGGGGTGGGGGGGGGGGTGTAGAAACAGGAATCTGTAAAGCTTTGGCTGGCCATCGGGGAGAAACTCAAGACTTCAGGTTCAATGAGAAACCTTGTCTCAAAATAAGGTAGAAAGGAACAGAGGGAAACATGCAGCATTGACCTTTGGCCTCCACAAACAATACTTGTACACACACGCATGCTCACGTGCATGTACACGCACATGCACAAGTGTGGTGGTGCACGTCTGTAATCCTAGCACTCAGGATCACAAGCTCAAGACCAACCTGGTCTACATAGGAAGTTCCAGGCTAGCCTAGGCCTGTCCAAAAGAAAAAAATGTAAGGGAAAGGAAGAAAAGAGAAAGACAGACGGATAAATGATGGTGGGAAGGGCTGGCACCATTGCCTGTCGTGTCCGTCTCCCAACCCCCAAGTGGCTACTGTGACTCTTTCCTGATTCTCCTGGGTCCCCACAATAACAGTATCTCTGAACTGTCCTGGGAACCCCCTCTCCCCAGCCGCCTCAGCCCTCACCACAGGAGGATCTTCAGAATGCTCCCTGGGGTCTGTCCTGCCCAGGCCAGCTGTGTGGCTGCAGGCCTAGCTCAGTGGGAGCTGGAGGCACCATCCATTCTGCTACTACTAACAGACCATGTCTGGGGCTGGGCTAGGCCAGGCCCAGAGGACAGCCCCGTATCAGGTGGCAGCAGGTAGAGCCTCTCGGAGGGTCCAGGCCTTTGAACTGAGTCACACTCAGGAACATGCAGGGTGCTGAGTGATGGAGGCACTCTTGGCACGTGAGAGCACAAAAGCACACAGCATGCACCGTGTGTGGAAAGTTACCTGTAAGTTTTTTACTTCTTACGTCATGGATGTAGTTTTGTGCCCAAAGCCTTGTTTGTAGAGGGCTGGAGAGACGGCTCAGCAGTTACAAGCACTAGCGGCTCTTCCGGAGGACCCGGGTTCAATCCCCAGCACCCATATGGCAGCTCACAACCATCTGTAACTCTAGGTCCAGGGGATCTGACAGCCTCTTGCGGCCTGTGGACACTAGGCATGAGTGTGGGACGCATGCATACATGTAGGCAAAACAAAAAAACCAACTATATACATGGGGGCTGGAGAGATGGATCAGCGGTTAAGAGCACTGCTTGTTGTTCCAGAGGTCCTGAGTTCAATTCCCAGCACCCACATGGTGGCTCACAACCATCTGTAATGAGATCTGGTGCCCTCTTCTGGCCTGCAGGTGTATATGTAGATAGAACACTGTACACATAATAAATAAATAAACAAATAAATACAACTACACACATAAAATAATATCTTTTAAAACCTTCTCAGAAGGCAGAGGCAACAGCCAGGGCTACACAGTAGAGAGACCCTGCGTCAGAACAAGCAAAACAATAAAAACCTTCAAAGCCGTCTTTAGGCTACTGTCCCCTTAGACGCCATAAGTGGACATTTTTGGGGTGAATGCGAAGATTCAGGTGAGGATGTGACTTTCACAGACCCGTGGGCAGTGTACACTCCTGGGCAGCGCACGAAGGTGCCCCAAGGTCTGAAGTGACCAGCTCAACAGCGGGCAGTGTCCGTGATCTCAGCCTGCCCTGCCCTTCAGTGGACCAGGGTGTTAGGTGCCTTCCTATTTGTTCATAGTATTGACTCCTAACGTTGGTGGCCCACTGTCCTCAAGAGTAATCATCTTCTACACGAGATCCTTTGAAGCTAAGGCTCAAGGTTAACATCCTCAGATATGTGTGGTGCTGTGGGCATGCAGCATGGATTGGCATATCAGGGCAGACTTCCTGGAGGAGGAAGGGTCTATCTCGTAAGATTCTAGTTGGAATGAATGGATGGGTTTTGATTTTGTCTTTTTTTTTTTTTTTTTGGTCTTCCTAGAATAAGAATGGAACAGTTGATGTCCATAACCCAGGAGGAGACAGAGAACCTGAGGCAACGTGAGATCGCCTGTGAGTTGTGGGGTGGGAACAATGAGAGTGCTTGTGGACATTTCTTGTGGGTAGACTGTCCCTCTCAGTCTCATGTGGAGGGTACTGAGTGTCCACCCTGAGGAAGGACAGCCTGGTCTGTTGTGGCGCTCAGGCCCTGGGGTCAGGCAAGCTTGGATTCTGAGTCTCGAGTTTCCTGTCTGTAGAATGGGGGGAAACTACAGTTACCTGCCTGCCACACAGGACTGCTGGGGATCCGATGGGGTCATTCCTGAGCATGCCACAAACCTGGCTGCTCTGGCTTCTGCCACTGAGGGCCAGGGTCAGCCTCACTTGGCGACTCTTTCCCTTGCTGATGTGCCCAGTTGGCCCTGGGTTCCACATGGTCAGCGCTGATGTGACTTGATCGAGACCAGCATTGAGAACTTGCAGCCACATGCCGAGGAAGGCCTTGGAGGCAGTGCCTGTCCTTAGCTGAAATGAAGATTGGCCACCCCATCTTTGAGGCCTTTGTCATGGAGGGGCTTTCTGTGTGCCAACTCGCCACACACGTGCTCACCACACCGGGGACCCCTCACTGCCAGCTCTGTTAAAGGTTACTGTCACCATCTGTTAAAGAAATCACCAGATGTTTAAGTTAATTTCACAGAGCTGGGACCAGCGTCCAGCGCTTTGTGTTTTCAGCCTTTCAAACCTCCCAGTTGCTGTTGCTTTGATTGAACCCAGGGCCTAGCACACGCTAGGCAAGCACACTACCGTAACTGAGCTACCCTGCCCCCTTACAAGTTTTATAACTTAGAAAAAAAATCAACAAGGAAACAGGAGAGCTGGCTCGGTGGTTAGAAGCATAGGCTGCTCTTCCAAAGGACCTGGATTCAAATTCCAGCACTTCGTGGTGGCTCACGACCATCTGTAACTCCAGCCCAGGGGATCCAGCGCCCCCTTCTGGCCTCCACAGGCAGTCACACACACACAACACCCATACACATGATTTTTTGTATTTTAAAGAATTCAACAAAAAATAACAAAGAGGGAGTGCTATTTTGGGTTTTTCAAGACAGGGTTTCTCTTTGTAACAGGCCTGGCTGTCCCGGAACTCGCTTTGTAGACCAGGCCTTAAACTCACATAGATCTGCCCACCTGCCTCTGCTTCCTGAATGCTGGGACTAAAGGTGTGTGCCACCAGCACCCAGCAATATAGATAATTTTTTTAAGGCTGGGTACTGGTGCTCATCTGCAGTCAGAGAACTCAGGATGCTGAGGCAGGAGGATTGGGAGTCCAAGGCCAGTCTGGCTATTTGGCAAAACTGTCAAGGAAGGAAGGAAGGAAAGAGGAAGGGACTTGGTTAAGAATGACGGTCCAGCAGGAAGCAGGGAGCCCTCTGGGCCTGTCCTTAGCAGGGAGCCCCAAGAGCAGCCACCTTTTCCCAGCAGCTCACAGCCTTCTCTCCACAGCGGCCATGCAGCAGATGCTGACCGAGAGCTGTAAGAGCCGGCTCATCCAGATGGCCTATGAGTCTCAGAGGCAGAGCCTGGTCCAGCAGGCCTGTTCCAGGTAAGGTAAGGAAGAGCGTGTGTTCCCAGGTGAGGGCTCCGAGAGAGTCAGCTGGGGGTCCAAGAGTGGAGCGAAAGCTGAACCCTGACTCCCCAGGCCATCCCAGCCTTGGCAGTGTTACCAGGACAGAGATGGCCAGCCTCTGGGTTTCCCCGTCTAGACTCGTCATGAGTCAGGGTTAGGCAGCGATGAAGGGAAGGTTATCTACCTCTGGGCCCATCCTGTGTGCCGGGGGCTGGCCTGTGTATGGAGACGGTACTGTTAGCTATCCCCCTGTACATCAAAGCTGAGCTTCTGGGGGGCATAGTCAAAACAAAACAAACAAGCAATTCAAGTCTTGGCCGGGCATGGTGGCACACGTTTGTTAAGTAGAGGCAGGAAGATCATGGGTAAACTACCTGGTGAATTCAGCACCCATTTGAGCTACGTGAGAGCCTGTCTACACACACACACACACACACACACACACACACACACACACAGGACTAGAGAGTTGGCTCAGCTGTTTAAAGCACTGGCTGTGCTTGTAGAGGACCAGAGTTCAGTTTGCAACACCCACATGATGGCTCCAGAAAACACCAAAACAATTTTAAAGTTAGTGTGAAGGAAACTCGAAGCTGACATCTTGATGCTTGGGAAGCCTGAGGTTGCAGGTTCTGTGCCGGTCACCAGGCCTGTTGTACAGAGTACAGCCAGTGTAGAAATGCTGGAGGAACATTCCAGAAGCTGAACAGCTCACCGGGACGTCAAGAGGTGGTTGGGCAGGAGCTAGGCATCCACTTGAGGGGGGTGTTGTGAAAGAGACCCAGTGGAGGACCCGGGTGGTTCTCTGCCAGCTCGGAGTTCTACCCGCTCCCTGATGTCCATGAGACTGCACACTGCCCTCTGTAGTAGTGTTGAGTGATTGTTTATCTCGGTCTCCCCCAAGGTGCCCAGCACACAGTAGGTGCTCAGGAAATAGTGCGTAACTGTGCTGTTTTTCTGGCAGCATGGCGGAAATGGACAAGCGGTTCCAGCAGATTCTGTCATGGCAGCAGATGGATCAGAGCAAAGCCGTCAGCCAGATCCTTCAGGAGGTGAGCCCTTGCCAGGGGCCTGACTGCAGCCTCCTGTGGGACCAGGGACCTTGTGACCTTGGAGACATGGGAGCCTGAGCCTCCAGGCACAGCCCTCTGGTCCCTGACTCTAGAGACGCTCCCCTTCCCTCTCCCTGGACACCTATACCACCCTGGGTAGAGAGCTCCACCTAAGGACTTAGTGCCCAGAGGTGACCGGCGTCCTGCTCAGGAAGCCGGGGCAGGGCCTCTTGTTTCCACACATTCGCCCACCGCCTTCCCCTTTAGCTGAAGCTCAGACGGGGCTGTGGTCCTGAAGCCTTTTCCCTGAAGCTGGCCCTGGTCTGCCTTGCGCATGTCACAGCCTGTCCCTTTGTCTTTGTGTCGTCCCAGCCCTGCGCACCTGTCTTGTCCACTTCTCTTCCCAGCTCCGCTTTTCCCAAACTCGGATGATTTACTGTCTGTGGGACTCGCTGTTGGGGACCCTGGTCCTCAGGGAGGGCACCTGCCTCTAGTTAAGGAGACGCTGGGGATCTGGGTAGACTTGAAATGGGCAGCAGAAACAGCAGATTCCCTAGCATGCCTGAAGACCAAGGTTCCATCCCCAGCACCTCAGGAAACGGTGTGGTGGCATACACCTGTAATCCTGTCAAGGGGGGTGAATACAGGCGGATCAGAAGTTCAAGGTCATCCTCAGCTACGTAGGGAGTTGAAGTTTGAGACCAGCTTAGGGTACATAAGACCACCTCACCTCAAAAAATAAAAGAGTCTGGGTGTAGTGGTGTACCCCTTTAATGCTAGCACTCAGGAGGCAGAGTGGGGCGGATCTCTGTGAGTTTGTGGCCAGCCTGGGCTACAGAGAGAGTTCCGGGACAGCCAGGGAGACAGAGACTCTGTCTCAAAAATTAAAAAAAAAAAAGTAAAACAGAAAGAAAGAAAGAAAGAAAGAAGGAAAGAAAGAAGGAAGGAAGGAAAGAAGGAAAGAAAGAAGGAAGGAAGGAAAGAAAGAAGTTGAGTGCATAGTGTGGGACGTGGAAAGTATGGTGCCAGCCCTTAATTAACATAGGGAATGATGTTTAATAGAGGTATGTCAACCTTCCCTTCTGTTCACCCCCATTTCCCTCTTGTTCCCCTTCCCCCTCCCCCATCTCTTCCCCTTGCAGTAGTCCCCTGTGCTCATGTCTTTCCATCATAAATACATATATGAACTGTATATGTTTAAATCTAGAGTCCACACATAAGAGTAAACCCCGATATTTATCTTTCACTTAACATGGTGATCTCCAGGTCTTCCTGCAGACAACACAGTTTCGTTCTCCTTTATAGCTGCATAAGACACCGCGCGTGTGTGTGTGTGTGTGTGTGTGTGTGTGTGTGTGTGTGTGTGTGTGTGTGTGTACACGCATCACACTGTCTTTGCCCAGTGACCTAGGGTGTACATGTGCAGTTTAACGATGCAGTTTCTTTCTTGGTTTTGTTGTTGTGTGTGTTTGGATGGTCTGTCTGTTGATAAGAGAATGCTGAAGTCACCCACCATCTGTTCCTCTATGTACAGTATTATCTTGAGAAATTAAGTGAACCAGTATTTGGGGCACGCATACTTCCAATGCCACCTCCTCTCGCTAGAGTGTCCTTTTAGTAGCATTGACTTGTTTCATCCGTGGGGACCGGTTCTGGCTCGGAGTCCCCTTTGTCAGGTGTGACCCTCACTGCTGGTGCTTGGCTCCATTGCTCCTTGTTGGTCCTGTCTTTGCTGAGAAGGTGTTTCTACAGATAACAACAGCTTTTTGACCTTTAGTTGGAGGGCAAGGTCCGTTCACACTCAGGGCTGAGGGGCTTGCTGCTTGGTGACTTTACCTGCACTTTTCCCGATTGGTTTGGATTTCCTTTACGCTCTTCTTCCCCTCTCTCAGGTTCGTTGTGACTCTCTCATGTGTCCTTGTCAGGAAATTTACTCTTTGCGGGATCTCATGACTGTATTGCTTCTTTCTCTCTTCTTTTTCTGTTTTGTTTTTGTGTTTGTGTTTGTTTTTGTTTTTTTTTTTGAGACAGGGTTTCTCTGTGTAGTTTTGCACCTTTCCTAGATCTCGCTCTGTAACCCAGATTGGTCTCGAACTCACAGAGATCCGCCTGCCTCTGCCTCCCGAGTGCTGGGATTAAAGGCGTGCGCTGCCACTGCCCGGCTCTTTCTCTCTTCTTAAAGATCTGTTTCTTTTATTTTGTGTGTGAGCATTTTGCCTGCATGTGTACCACGTGCCGGCCGTGCCACGTGCCGGCTCTGCCCTTGGAGACCAGTTGTGGGATCCCTGGAATTGGAGTTACAGATGTTGCTGGTCAACATGTGGGTGCTGGGAACTGAACCCCGGAGCAGCCAGTGCTCTTAACCTCCGAGCCATCTCTCCAGCCCGGGTAGGAGTTACTTAAGAACATGTGCTGTGCTGGCTCTGTGATCCGGAACGGCTTCAGTTTCTCTGTGTCTTGAAATTCCATGCTTTCCCGGCTCCTAGGGTTTCTGCTAAGTCTGGCGCCATCCGCATCTTGTCTTTGTTAGGTGAGCTGATGTTTTTCAGTTGCTGCTTTTGAAAAATGATTACTACATTTATTTGGGGAGGGATACACAAGTGTCCTGGCATGGAGGTCAGAGGACAGCTTGTGGAGGCTGGTTCTCTCCTTCCACCATGTGGGTCTCAGGGCTTCTTCATGTGAGCCCTCAGGTCATGAGGCTTGATCGCAAGCACCTTTGCGGCGGCGGAGCCATCTTGCCTGCCCTCTTTAAGATTGTAACTTTGTATCTTTGTTTTGTAGTCTTAGCAGTTTAACTGAAAGTGGTGGGAAGCTTAGTTTCTGGTCGTTTGGGCGTTTCTGAGCACCTCTTGGTCTTTTGGATATTTGCTTTCCTAGATTTGAGAACTTTTCAGCTATAATTTTTTTTAATGTATTTGGGTGTTTTGCCTGCACTGCCCATGCAGCCCAGAAGTTCCTCTGGAACTGGAGTTACAGAACGAGTAAGCTGCCATGTGGGTGCTGGGAACTGAATGTGGATCCTCTGGAAGAACAGCTGCGCCGAGCTGTCTCTCCAGCCAAGATGTTGATTGGCAGTTACTTAACTCCAGGTTTGGAATTCAGCTACAATCTCACTGAATGGGTCTTATATGTACTTACTTTTTTTTTGGTTTTTCGAGACAGGGTTTCTCTGTGTAGTTTTGTGCCTGTCCTGGAAGTTCGCTCTGTAGACCAGGCTGTCCTTGAACTCACAGAGATCCTCCTGGCTCTGCCTCCAGAGTGCTGGGACTAAAGGCGTGCGCCACCACCGCCCTGCTATGCATTTACTTCTAATCTCCACTCCTGTCCCATGGATTCTTAAGTTTGGTCAGTTTGTGGTCATGTTTGAGTTTTGTTGTTGTTTTAATTTTTTAAATTAATTATTTTAGGGAGTATATGTATATTGTGTATTTGTGCACATGTGCATGCAGATAGGGGTGTGTGTGTGCATTTCTGTTTGTTTTGTTTCTGATTTTTATTTTTCAAAATCTCTTTTTTTAATGATTCATTTATTTGTGTGCATAGGTATTCTGGCTGCATGTATGTCTGTGAGGATGCTGGATCTCTTAGAGACGGAGTTACAGAAGAGGAGGAGGAATTGGGTCAGGTCTAAAGCAAACCCTATGTGAGCTGCTGTGTGGGTGCTGGGAATTGAACCTGGGTCCTTTGGAAGAAGGGCCCGTGCTCTGCACTGCTGCGCCGTCTCTCCAGCCCCAGAATCTCTATTTCCTTGCTGAGTTCTTCATCCATGTCAGCAGCATGTTCATGCCCACCTTCAGTGACTTCCTTTCTTCACCCATTTACCTGCTCTTACCCCCTCTGAAGCATTGATCTTTTGTACAGGTAGACTCTTGAATTCTTTGACTGGCGTTTCAACCATTTCAGTATCTTTGAATTGTGTGACTGGGGAGTGATGATCCTTTGGAGCGGTCATGTTGCCTTGAATTTCATTGTGTGTCTGCCTGGTGACATGCATGTCTGTTGGTTTGCGTACCGGTTCTGGTTTAATTTGGGCAGCTTCCTAGTAAGCAGACATCTCTTTTATATATATATAATTTCTTTATTTGTATTTTGTGTTCATTGGTGTTTTGTGTGCATGTATGTCTGTGTGAGGGTGTCGTATTTCCTGGAACAGGAGTTACAGACAGTTGTGAGCTGCCATGTGTGGGTGCTGGGAATTGAACCCAGGTCCTCTGGGAGAGCAGTCAGTGCTCTTAACCGCTGAGCCATCTCTCCAGCCCAAGCAGATGTCTCTTAAGGACTCAATCTTGAGTACCATTCAAAAAGGAGAGAGGAAAAAAGAAAAAAGAACCACTGATAGATAAGGTGTGGCTGTACCCTTCCCCCACTGAGGATCCAGGCCTGGAGTCACAGTGGGCAGCATCATGATTTTGCTGCAAGGCCTTCTGTTCCTCCGAGTTTGGGGCCATCCTTTCCCTCCTGTGGTCTCTGGTGTTCTTCTCGTTCTTCAGAATACCAGTTACCCTGACTCTTCTCAGTCCGTCATACAAACACAGATTCTCATCTTCCCTTTGACCCCAGAACCCTTACTAGTACCATTTTTTTATTTAAACAGATAAGATAAAAAGTTTACTGCTCAGCTGGGTGGTCATGGCACACTCCTTTAATCCCAGCACTCAGGAGGCAGAGGCAGGCGGATCTCTGAGTTGGAGGCCAGCCTGGTCTACAGAGTTGAGTTCTAGGACAGCCAGGGCTACACAGAGAAGCCCTGTCTCGAAAAACACACACACAAAAAAGTTACTTCTCCAACTGGGTGTGGTGGCATATGCTAGTAATCCACCACTCAGAAGACTGAGGCAGGATGATTGAGGCAGGATTCAAAACAACTTGAGTTACACAGACCCTGCATCAAAAGGAAGAAGAGAGGGGAGTTATCTCTCTGTCTCCCCAGAAACATAAAGTCACCCTGTTTTTAGGCAGATGTTGCTCTCTGTGGCTGGTGAGTGCCCTTGGGAGAGGCAGGGAGTGCAGCCTCAGCCGAGTGGTCTGTGTGTGTGGTCTGTTGCAGAGTGTGATGCAGAAGGCTGCATTTGAGGCTCTCCAGGTGAAGAAAGACCTGGCGCATCGGCAGATCAGGAACCAGGTGAGTGCGGCCGGGCCACCGGTCCTGCCCCCCTTACAGACCTGGCTCACCGGGGCAGCAGTCAAAAGACTCACATCTGTGGCTGGCCAGCTCGCGTGAGAGCTCTCCCTGGGAGGCCTTCTTTTCCCCAGCAGCCACCAGTGGGGCTGTTGCTTTGTGCCTTGAACAGCGCTGGAGATGGCCTCATCCCAGAACCTGGCCAGAGCCTGCTGGGCAAATACAGGGTGTGTTTCCATGATACATGGGCTGGAGAAAGGGCAGCTCTAACGTGACTCTTTGGGAAACTGGCCAGCTCAGACTCCAGTACCCCCATCAGCTCAAAATAACTGAACAGTGGCTTCTGGGGATGGGTTGGATTTCCCACTTGAGTGGACAGCCAGGTCCTAAGATCTGCTGAGGAAGGACCCTGGCTTGGTAGGAGGAGACCACCCTCCCATCCAGACTCCACTGCTGACCTGTGGAGTGGCCTTGGGCAGGGCCCCTGCTGGAGCTCGTGGGGCTGGGCCAGAGGCTCTGCAAGCTTTCAGGCTATGGGAACACACATCGCTTCGTGTTCGCACACTGAACCCCATGGTTTTGCATGCTCTCCTTTCTTTTTCTCTTCTTGTTTGACCTAAACCAACTGAATTTTTTTTTTTTTTATCTCCCTCTTTAATTTCAATCCCACATTGCCAGACATGAAGCTCATTCCTCTGACCAGGGATTGGTGGGGTCAGGGACTCAGGGTTGGAAGAGGCCACAGGGCCATTGACTGGCAGGGGTTAGAGAAGTCACTGGCTGTGGGGTCTGGGAGCATGTGGTGCCCCCCAGATATTCTCAATGACCCTGTTCCACTTCGGACCTTGAGCTGGGCTATCCCAAGGAAACATTCTCTCACCACTCTGCTCTGTGTCCTTGGACAAGTTCCTTAACCACACTGAGCGTCAGCTTCCTTACCTTGTGGTGAAGGCAGTAATACGCCCCAACAGCCAGAATACCAGTGAAATGATGCAGCTGCAGCCCTGCAGCGCACAGTAGGTGATCGGTCAATAACCGCAGCTCATTACTGAGTCACGTTTGTTACCTGCTGGCCCCCTTGACGGCCACATGGAAGATGTTCATGCCACAGTCCACAGATAAAGGCCCCAGTGATGAGCAGGAAGGAAGCCCCTCCATCTCACAGACTTTCACCCAGAGCCTACTCTGAGATGGGCCCCGTGCTGGGCTCTCGGTCAGAGATGTTGACCAAGACATGTATGTCCATGTTCCAGGCCACCCAGAGCCATGAAGTGGCAGCTTGTTTTTATTCCCTTTAGTGAGATCCCAAGGCGCACAAGCTCCGCTGTGTCCGGGGCTACCCAGCCTCCTGGCAAAGGTCTCTGGTCCCTGCTTGGCCAGGCAGCAGCAGCACCTAAGGGATCGTGTGATTGGCCATCAACGCCCCTGTCTCGTCTTCTGTTTAGATTAGGCTAATAGAGACTGAGTTACTGCAGCTGACACAGCTGGAGTTAAAGAGGAAGTCCCTGGACACAGAGACGCTGCAGGTATGTGAGGCTCCAGCCAGACAACGCCCTCACCCCATGCCCAACCCCAGAGCGGCTGCTCCTCAGGCCCAGGCACGGGTTTCCCCACAGACAGAGGGCAGGTCCAGCCCAATAGAGCCAGCATGGCCCAGGATCAAAGGCAGCTTGTGCTGGGCAAGAGGGTCAGAGGAAGGAAGGTTTCATTGCCAGGCCTGACGGGCACCATCACCATCTCTGCATATTCCCCTCTCTGGGCTGGTGGCTGTGTGGTCAGGCGGGCTTCAGGTCCTACTCTCTGGGCTGATAGTCCCTGTCGGGGGAGTCGTGGTATCTCAAGGGCATGTGAGCGAAGCTGGTTGCTCACAGACCCCCAGGGGCAGCACAGATTGGCACATAGCAGTCTGGACTAGACACTGGGACCTGGCTGTGGCTCACACACAGCCTGGCCATACAGCCTTGGCACATGGAGGAAAGGGGTGCCCTTCTCCCTTCCCTGGACCTCAGTCTCCCCAGACGCACACAGGAGCAGGGTAGGATGGCATGTGAACACATGCTCACGCCGGGCTTCTGAGCATTTTCCGTCTGTCACTGTCTGCCCAGGAGAGTCGAAGTTGACCCACAGCCTCCCAGAACTGAGGGTCCCGCTGCCCTAGGTGGCCTTAGACCTGTCATTATTTCCACTGGCCCCTCGTAAACACCTCTCTAAGGTGGGAGCCATTGTTCATGGCTGGCCTGTGTCATCAGCCCATCAGAGCATGTTCTGGGTGAGCCCCTGATGGTCTTCACAGATGAGGAGCTGGGCCGCACAGGGAAGCGGCCACCACTCTTGGTCCTTGCCCGTTTGGGTCACAGGGCTGTCACTGTTGGGACCTGCATGGGGTTTCCAAGGACAAGATGAGCTTGTGACCACAAAAACAGGGCAGTTGGCACGGTCTCCCTGTGTGGCAGCCTCCTCATCTGTGTGTGCCCCCCTCCTCCTCTGTGTATGATGCCCCCCCTCCTCTGTGTGCCCCCCTCCTCTGTGTGTGCCCCCTCTGTGTGTGTATGCCCCCCTCCTCCTCTGTGTATGATGCCCCCACTCCTCTGTGTGCCCCCTCCTCTGTGTGCCCCCCTCCTCTGTGTGCCCCCCTCCTCTGTGTGTGTGTGCCCCCCTCCTCCTCTGTGTATGATGCCCCCCTCCTCTATGTGCCCCCCTCCTCTGTGTGCCCCCCTCCTCTGTGTGTGCCCCCTCCTCTGTGTGTGTGCCCCCTCCTCTGTGTGTGTGCCCCCTCCTCTGTGTGCCCCCTCCTCTGTGTGCCCCCTTCCTCTGTGTGTGTGCCCCCTCCTTTGTGTATGTGTGCCCCCTCCTCCTCTGTGTGTGGCCCCCCTCCTCTGTGTGGTCCTCCCTCTGTGTGTGGTCCCCCTCCTCTGTGTGTGGTCCTCCCTCCTCTGTGTGTGGTCCCCCTCCTCTGTGTGTGGTCCTCCCTCTGTGTGTGGTCCCCCTCCTCTGTGTGTGGTCCCCCTCCTCTGTGTATGGTGCCCCCCTCCTCTGTGTGGTCCTCCCTCCTCTGTGTGTGGCCCCCCTCCTCTGTGTGTGGCCCCTCCTCTGTGTATGGTGCCCCCCTCCTCTGTGTGGTCCTCCCTCCTCTGTGTGTGGTTCCCCCTCCTCTGTGTGTGGTCCCCCTCCTCTGTGTGTGGTCCCCCTCCTCCTCTGTGTGGTCTCCCTCCTCTGTGTGATCCTCCCTCCTCTGTGTGGTCCTCCCTCTGTGTGTGGTCCTCCCTCTGTGTGTGGTCCTCCCTCCTCTGTGTGTGGTCCTCCCTCCTCTGTGTGTGGTCCTCCCTCTGTGTGTGGTCCTCCCTCCTCTGTGTGTGGTCCTCCCTCCTCTGTGTGTGGTCCTCCCTCCTCTGTGTGTGGTCCTCCCTCCACTGTGTGTGGTCCCCCTCCTCCTCTTTGTGGTCCTCCCTCCTCTGTGTGGTCCTCCCTCTGTGTGGTCCTCCCTCCTCTGTGTGTGGTCCCCCTCCTCTGTGTGGTCCTCCCTCCTCTGTGTGGTCCCCCTCCTCTGTGTGGTCCTCCCTCCTCTGTGTGTGGTCCCCCTCCTCTGTGTATGGTGCCCCCCTCCTCTGTGTGTGGTCCCCCCTCTGTGTGTGGTCCTCCCTCCTCTGTGTGTGGTCCTCCCTCCTCTGTGTGTGGTCCCCCTCCTCTGTGTGGTCTCCCTCTGTGTGGTCCTCCCTCCTCTGTGTGCTCCTCCCTCCTCTGTGTGGTCCTCCCTCCTCTGTGTGTGGTCCCCCTCCTCTGTGTGGTCCTCCCTCCTCTGTGTGGTCCCCCTCCTCTGTGTGTGGTCCTCCCTCCTCTGTGTGTGCCCCCTCCTCTGTGTGTGGTCCCCCTCCTCTGTGTGTGGTCCTCCCTCCTCTGTGTGTGCCCCCTCCTCTGTGTGTGTGCCCCCTCCTCTGTGTGTGGTCCTCCCTCCTCTGTGTGTGGTCCTCCCTCCTCTGTGCGTGGTCCCCCTCCTCTGTGTGTGTGCCCCCTCCTCTGTGTGGTCCTCCCTCCTCTGTGTGTGGTCCTCCCTCCTCTGTGTGTGGTCCTCCCTCCTCTGTGTGTGGTCCTCCCTCCTCTGTGTGTGGTCCCCCTCCTCTGTGTGTGTGGCCTCCCTCCTCTGTGTGGTCCCCCTCCTCTGTGTGTGGTCCCCCCTCCTCTGTGTGTGGTCCTCCCTCCTCTGTGTGGTCCTCCCTCCTCTGTGTGTGGTCCTCCCTCCTCTGTGTGTGGTCCCCCCTCCTCTGTGTGGTCCTCCCTCCTCTGTGTGTGTGCCCCCTCCTCTGTGTGTGCCCCCTCCTCTGTGTGTGGTCCTCCCTCCTCTGTGTGGTCCTCCCTCCTCTGTGTGTGGTCCTCCCTCCTCTGTGTGGTCCTCCCTCCTCTGTGTGTGGTCCTCCCTCCTCTGTGTGTGGTCCTCCCTCCTCTGTGTGTGGTCCCCCTCCTCTGTGTGTGTGGCCTCCCTCCTCTGTGTGTGTGGTCCTCCCTCCTCTGTGTGTGGTCCTCCCTCTGTGTGTGGTCCTCCCTCTGTGTGTGGTCCTCCCTCTGTGTGTGGTCCTCCCTCTGTGTGTGGTCCTCCCTCCTCTGTGTGTGGTCCTCCCTCCTCTGTGTGTGGTCCCCCTCCTCTGTGTGTGTGGCCTCCCTCCTCTGTGTGTGTGGTCCTCCCTCCTCTGTGTGTGTGCCCCCTCCTCTGTGTGTGGTCCTCCCTCCTCTGTGTGTGTGGTCCTCCCTCCTCTGTGTGTGCCCCCTCCTCTGTGTGTGGTCCCCCTCCTCTGTGTGTGTGGTCCTCCCTCCTCTGTGTGTGTGCCCCCTCCTCTGTGTGTGTGGCCTCCCTCCTCTGTGTGTGTGGTCCTCCCTCCTCTGTGTGTGTGCCCCCTCCTCTGTGTGGTCCTCCCTCCTCTGTGTGTGGTCCTCCCTCCTCTGTGTGGTCCTCCCTCCTCTGTGTGTGGTCCCCCTCCTCTGTGTGTGTGCCCTCCTCTGTGTGTGGTCCCCCTCCTCTGTGTGTGGTCCTCCCTCTGTGTGTGGTCCTCCCTCCTCTGTGTGTGTGGCCTCCCTCCTCTGTGTGTGGTCCTCCCTCCTCTGTGTGTGTGCCCCCTCCTCTGTGTGGTCCTCCCTCCTCTGTGTGTGGTCCTCCCTCCTCTGTGTGGTCCTCCCTCCTCTGTGTGTGGTCCTCCCTCCTCTGTGTGTGGTCTCCCTCCTCTGTGTGGTCCTCCCTCCTCTGTGTGTGGTCCTCCCTCCTCTGTGTGTGTGCCCCCTCCTCTGTGTGTGCCCCCTCCTCTGTGTGTGTGGTCCTCCCTCCTCTGTGTGTGTGGTCCCCCTCCTCTGTGTGTGTGGCCTCCCTCCTCTGTGTGTGTGGTCCTCCCTCCTCTGTGTGTGGTCCCCTCCTCTGTGTGTGGTCCCCTCCTCTGTGTGTGGTCCCCCTCCTCTGTGTGTGGTCCTCCCTCCTCTGTGAGGTCCTCCCTCCTCTGTGTGTGGTCTCCCTCCTCTGTGTGGTCCTCCCTCCTCTGTGTGTGGTCCCCCCCCTCTGTGTGGTCCTCCCTCCTCTGTGTGTGGTCCTCCCTCCTCTGTGTGTGGTCCCCTCCTCTGTGTGTGGTCCTCCCTCCTCTGTGTGTGGTCCCCCTCCTCTGTGTGTGGTCCCCCTCCTCTGTGTGTGGTCCTCCCTCCTCTGTGTGGTCCCCCTCCTCTGTGTGGTCCTCCCTCCTCTGTGTGTGGTCCCCCTCCTCTGTGTATGGTGCCCCCCCTCCTCTGTGTGTGGTCCCCCCTCTGTGTGTGGTCCTCCCTCCTCTGTGTGTGGTCCTCCCTCCTCTGTGTGTGGTCCCCCTCCTCTGTGTGGTCTCCCTCTGTGTGGTCCTCCCTCCTCTGTGTGCTCCTCCCTCCTCTGTGTGGTCCTCCCTCCTCTGTGTGTGGTCCCCCTCCTCTGTGTGGTCCTCCCTCCTCTGTGTGGTCCCCCTCCTCTGTGTGTGGTCCTCCCTCCTCTGTGTGTGCCCCCTCCTCTGTGTGTGGTCCCCCTCCTCTGTGTGTGGTCCTCCCTCCTCTGTGTGTGCCCCTCCTCTGTGTGGTCCTCCCTCCTCTGTGTGTGGCCCCTCCTCTGTGTGTGGTCCCCCTCCTCTGTGTGTGTGGTCCTCCCTCCTCTGTGTGTGTGCCCCCTCCTCTGTGTGTGTGGCCTCCCTCCTCTGTGTGTGTGGTCCTCCCTCCTCTGTGTGTGTGCCCCCTCCTCTGTGTGGTCCTCCCTCCTCTGTGTGTGGTCCTCCCTCCTCTGTGTGGTCCTCCCTCCTCTGTGTGTGGTCCCCCTCCTCTGTGTGTGTGCCCTCCTCTGTGTGTGGTCCCCCTCCTCTGTGTGTGGTCCTCCCTCTGTGTGTGGTCCTCCCTCCTCTGTGTGTGTGGCCTCCCTCCTCTGTGTGTGGTCCTCCCTCCTCTGTGTGTGTGCCCCCTCCTCTGTGTGGTCCTCCCTCCTCTGTGTGTGGTCCTCCCTCCTCTGTGTGGTCCTCCCTCCTCTGTGTGTGGTCCTCCCTCCTCTGTGTGTGGTCTCCCTCCTCTGTGTGGTCCTCCCTCCTCTGTGTGTGGTCCTCCCTCCTCTGTGTGTGTGCCCCCTCCTCTGTGTGTGCCCCCTCCTCTGTGTGTGTGGTCCTCCCTCCTCTGTGTGTGTGGTCCCCCTCCTCTGTGTGTGTGGCCTCCCTCCTCTGTGTGTGTGGTCCTCCCTCCTCTGTGTGTGGTCCCCTCCTCTGTGTGTGGTCCCCTCCTCTGTGTGTGGTCCCCCTCCTCTGTGTGTGGTCCTCCCTCCTCTGTGAGGTCCTCCCTCCTCTGTGTGTGGTCTCCCTCCTCTGTGTGGTCCTCCCTCCTCTGTGTGTGGTCCCCCCCCTCTGTGTGATCCTCCCTCCTCTGTGTGTGGTCCTCCCTCCTCTGTGTGTGGTCCCCTCCTCTGTGTGTGGTCCTCCCTCCTCTGTGTGTGGTCCCCCTCCTCTGTGTGTGGTCCCCCTCCTCTGTGTGTGGTCCTCCCTCCTCTGTGTGGTCCTCCCTCCTCTGTGTGTGGTCCCCCTCCTCTGTGTGTGGTCTCCCTCCTCTGTGTGTGGTCCTCCCTCCTCTGTGTGTGGTCCCCTCCTCTGTGTGTGGTCCTCCCTCCTCTGTGTGTGGTCCCCCTCCTCTGTGTGTGGTCCTCCCTCCTCTGTGTGGTCCTCCCTCCTCTGTGTGGTCCCCCCTCCTCTGTGTGTGGTCCCCCTCCTCTGTGTGTGGTCCCCCTCCTCTGTGTGTGGTCCTCCCTCCTCTGTGTGGTCCTCCCTCCTCTGTGTGTGGTCTCCCTCCTCTGTGTGGTCCTCCCTCCTCTGTGTGTGGTCCCCCCCCTCTGTGTGGTCCTCCCTCCTCTGTGTGTGGTCCTCCCTCCTCTGTGTGTGGTCCTCCCTCCTCTGTGTGTGGCCCCCCCCTCTGTGTGTGGTCCTCCCTCTGTGTGTGGCCCCCTCCTCTGTGTGGTCCTCCCTCCTCTGTGTGTGGTCCCCCCTCCTCTGTGTGGTCCTCCCTCCTCTGTGTGTGGTCCCCCTCCTCTGTGTGGTCCTCCCTCCTCTGTGTGGTCCTCCCTCCTCTGTGTGTGGCCCCCCCCTCTGTGTGTGGTCCTCCCTCTGTGTGTGGCCCCCTCCTCTGTGTGGTCCTCCCTCCTCTGTGTGTGGTCCCCCCTCCTCTGTGTGGTCCTCCCTCCTCTGTGTGTGGCCCCCCCCTCTGTGTGTGGTCCTCCCTCCTCTGTGTGGTCCTCCCTCCTCTGTGTGGTCCCCCTCCTCTGTGTGTGGTCCCCCCTCCTCTGTGTGGTCCTCCCTCCTCTGTGTGTGGTCCCCCTCCTCTGTGTGGTCCTCCCTCCTCTGTGTGGTCCTCCCTCCTCTGTGTGTGGTCCCCCTCCTCTGTGTGTGGTCCCCCTCCTCTGTGTGTGGTCCTCCCTCCTCTGTGTGGTCCTCCCTCCTCTGTGTGTGGTCCCCTCCTCTGTGTGTGGTCCTCCCTCCTCTGTGTGTGGTCCCCCTCCTCTGTGTGTGGTCCTCCCTCCTCTGTGTGGTCCTCCCTCCTCTGTGTGTGGTCCCCCCCCTCTGTGTGGTCCTCCCTCCTCTGTGTGTGGTCCTCCCTCCTCTGTGTGTGGCCCCCCCCTCTGTGTGTGGTCCTCCCTCTGTGTGTGGCCCCCTCCTCTGTGTGGTCCTCCCTCCTCTGTGTGTGGTCCCCCCTCCTCTGTGTGGTCCTCCCTCCTCTGTGTGTGGTCCCCCTCCTCTGTGTGGTCCTCCCTCCTCTGTGTGGTCCTCCCTCCTCTGTGTGTGGCCCCCCCCTCTGTGTGTGGTCCTCCCTCTGTGTGTGGTCCTCCCTCCTCTGTGTGGTCCTCCCTCCTCTGTGTGTGGTCCCCCTCCTCTGTGTGTGGTCCCCCTCCTCTGTGTGTGGTCCTCCCTCCTCTGTGTGGTCCCCCTCCTCTGTGTGTGGTCCCCCTCCTCTGTGTGTGGTCCTCCCTCCTCTGTGTGGTCCTCCCTCCTCTGTGTGTGGTCCCCCTCCTCTGTGTGTGGTCCCCCTCCTCTGTGTGTGGTCCCCCCTCCTCTGTGTGTGGTCCCCCCCCTCTGTGTGTGGTCCTCCCTCCTCTGTGTGGTCCCCCTCCTCTGTGTGTGGCCCCCCCCTCTGTGTGTGGTCCTCCCTCTGTGTGTGGCCCCCTCCTCTGTGTGGTCCTCCCTCCTCTGTGTGGTCCTCCCTCCTCTGTGTGTGGTCCCCCTCCTCTGTGTGGCCCCCTCCTCTGTGTGGTCCTCCCTCCTCTGTGTGGTCCTCCCTCCTCTGTGTGTGTGCCCCCTCCTCTGTGTGTGGTCCTCCCTCCTCTGTGTGTGGTCCTCCCTCCTCTGTGTGTGGTCTCCCTCCTCTGTGTGGCCCCCTCCTCTGTGTGGTCCTCCCTCCTCTGTGTGTGTGCCCCCTCCTCTGTGTGTGGTCCTCCCTCCTCTGTGTGTGTGCCCCCTCCTCTGTGTGTGCCCCCTCCTCTGTGTGTGCCCCCTCCTCTGTGTGTGGTCCTCCCTCCTCTGTGTGTGGTCCTCCCTCCTCTGTGTGTGGTCCTCCCTCCTCTGTGTGTGGTCCTCCCTCCTCTGTGTGTGTGGTCCTCCCTCCTCTGTGTGTGTGCCCCCTCCTCTGTGTGGTCCTCCCTCCTCTGTGTGTGGTCCCCCTCCTCTGTGTGTGGTCCCCCTCCTCTGTGTGGTCCCCCTCCTCTGTGTGTGGTCCTCCCTCCTCTGTGTGGTCCCCCTCCTCTGTGTGTGTGCCCCCTCCTCTGTGTGTGGTCCTCCCCCCTCTGTGTGTGGTCCCCCTCCTCTGTGTGGTCCCCCTCCTCTGTGTGTGTGGTCCTCCCTCCTCTGTGTGTGTGGTCCTCCCTCCTCTGTGTGTGGTCCTCCCTCCTCTGTGTGTGGTCCCCCTCCTCTGTGTGTGGTCCCCCTCCTCTGTGTGTGGTCCTCCCTCCTCTGTGTGTGTGGCCTCCCTCCTCTGTGTGGTCCCCCCCCTCTGTGTGTGGTCCTCCCTCCTCTGTGTGTGTGCCCCCTCCTCTGTGTGTGGTCCTCCCTCCTCTGTGTGTGCCCCCTCCTCTGTGTGTGGTCCTCCCTCTGTGTGTGGTCCCCCTCCTCTGTGTGTGGCCCCCTCCTCTGTGTGGTCCTCCCTCCTCTGTGTGGTCCCCCTCCTCTGTGTGGTCCTCCCTCCTCTGTGTGGTCCCCCTCCTCTGTGTGTGCCCCCTCCTCTGTGTGGTCCTCCCTCCTCTGTGTGTGGTCCTCCCTCCTCTGTGTGTGGTCCTCCCTCCTCTGTGTGTGGTCCTCCCTCCTCTGTGTGGTCCCCCTCCTCTGTGTGTGGTCCTCCCTCCTCTGTGTGTGGTCCCCCTCCTCTGTGTGTGGTCCCCCTCCTCTGTGTGTGGTCCCCCTCCTCTGTGTGTGTGGTCCTCCCTCCTCTGTGTGTGCCCCCTCCTCTGTGTGTGGTCCCCCTCCTCTGTGTGTGGTCCTCCCTCCTCTGTGTGTGGTCCCCCCTCCTCTGTGTGGTCCCCCTCCTCTGTGTGTGGTCCTCCCTCCTCTGTGTGTGTGCCCCCTCCTCTGTGTGTGGTCCTCCCTCTGTGTGGTCCTCCCTCCTCTGTGTGTGGTCCTCCCTCCTCTGTGTGTGTGGTCCCCCCTCTGTGTGTGGTCCTCCTCCTCTGTGTGTGGTCTCCCTCCTCTGTGTGTGGTCCTCCCTCCTCTGTGTGTGTGCCCCCTCCTCTGTGTGTGGTCCTCCTCCTCTGTGTGTGGTCCCCCTCCTCTGTGGTCCCCCTCCTCTGTGTGTGGTCCCCCTCCTCTGTGTGGTCTCCCTCCTCTGTGTGTGGTCCCCCTCCTCTGTGTGGTCTCCCTCCTCTGTGTGTGGTCCTCCCTCCTCTGTGTGTGGTCCCCCTCCTCTGTGTGTGGTCCCCCTCCTCTGTGGTCCCCCTCCTCTGTGTGTGGTCCTCCCTCCTCTGTGTGGTCCCCCTCCTCTGTGTGTGGTCCCCCTCCTCTGTGTGGTCCCCCTCCTCTGTGTGTGCCCCCTCCTCTGTGTGGTCCTCCCTCCTCTGTGTGTGGTCCTCCCTCCTCTGTGTGTGGTCCTCCCTCCTCTGTGTGGTCCCCCCTCCTCTGTGTGTGGTCCCCCTCCTCTGTGTGTGGTCCCCCTCCTCTGTGTGGCCCCCTCCTCTGTGGTCCCCCTCCTCTGTGTGTGGCCCCCTCCTCATTCTGGTTCCACATCAGCCCTTCTTGCATTAACTTCCACCTGTGTGCTGTGGTCAGTCAAGACCTGTGGCTTGTCATTCCCTTTGTGTGGCCTTTCTCCCCTCCACTGTCACCATCACTAGGGTCCCATGCCTGGCCTGAAGCCCACGAAGAAGGGAGGTGAGGGCTTGGGAGGAAGTGGGTAGCTGCAAGAATAGAGGTGCCTCCAGACTCTCTACTCGGCCTAGAGACATCAGTCAGAGCCCTGACGTCAGTTAGTGGGCTCCCAGGCCACGCCTAGCTGCATCGTGGGGACCAGTGCAAGAGCTCACAGTGGCCTCAGGTCTGACCCTGTGTTGCAGGAGATGATCTCAGAGCAGCGCTGGGCACTCAGCAGCCTGCTCCAGCAGCTGCTCAAGGAGAAGAGGCAGCGAGAAGAGGAGCTCCATGACATCCTGGTAGGCTCTCTGGCTTCTGCTCTACCTCACCTGGGTGTGTGCCGCGCCCCTCCCTCGGGTGCCGTGTGTGCCGCGCCCCTCCCGCGGTGCCGTGTGTGCTTCTGAAACACTTGTTATTCCAGTAGTAGGTGCTCATCGAAGGGGAACTTAAGGTGCCAGTTCGTTGGGTGTTGTCATAGGGAGTTTATTTTCTCACAATCAGATAGCTGATCACATCCAGAGTCAGCAGAGAGGAGCGAACACACGTCTTAGCCCCTGCACAGGGCTCTCCATGCCCTCAAGATTTGTTAGGGCAGTCCTGAGTATTCTCTCCAGGACGGACTCGTTGGGAGCAGACCGCTGCTTCTCGCGGGAGTGGCCCAGCCCTTGGTGTGACTCGTTGCCTTTCACCCTGGCGTGTATCAGGTTGGCTGAGTCCCACTCCAGACATCACTCCAGACCATTCTGTTCCACACACTGAGGACCCAGGCTAGGCTCGCCAGCCAGGGCTGAAAAGACAGAGTCACCCCTATCTTGTGAATGTCCCAAACGCCCATCCTAGACCAGTTGAGGCGAGTGAGACCAGCTCCCACAGAGCACACACAGCCAGGTGATGTGTCTCACGCCCATCCAAAGTGACCCATTCCCCAGGAGGCCTCGCTAGTGTGTGAGCAGTGTCCTTACCTCAGCAGGGCCGGGAGCCACATGTCTAAGGGAGGAAGCACCAGATAACAGACCAGTCGGGACCACGCACACAGAAGGAAAGTGTTGCCTGGCACAGTGCCGCACACCCATCACCCCAGCCCTCCAGAGGCTGGTGGGCCGGGCCCTGGTTCAGAAGAGCACAGTACAGAGACAAAGGGAGAGGCACAGTGAGGCGCCTCCGCGGGGTCTGACACTGTCACCAAGCCTGGTGGCCTGAGTTCTAACCGGGACACCCGGGGGAAGGACAGAACCACCTCCCACGGTTGTCCTCTGACCTCCGCGTGTGTGTTGTGTGGGGGCAGGGAGGCGCACGCAAGATAAATTAATGTCACATCCAAACTTAAGAAAGGAAAGTGGAGTTCCCGGCCATCTCAGGAGGGACCACCAAGGACAGTCAGATGCAGAGCCCCTGGGAGATAGATGCCTGCTGCTGCGTCTGTCCAGAGCACACGCTCTAGAGCAAGACAGACCTGCCCAGATCTTGCTGTGGCACTGGGCCAGATGTGAATCCCTCCCTGGGGGGTCGGCTCTTTCACAGAGTTGGGACAAGGGTGGCTCTGGGACAGCACCCACCCAGAACAACCTTTATGAACATTCCCAGTGGCAGAGCAAGGACCTCACTGCCATAGGTGACAGCCTTGTCCAGCAAAAGCGCCCTTCTCCTGAAGGCCCTGTAGCCACCTGCCTAGCATCCAAGTCAGGCCTGCTCTTGGGGACAGAGGTGGCTGCACAAGACTTGGCTGTCCCACAGACAGACCAAAAGGGGTCCCTCTCAGCTGGTGACAGGGTGGGGCTGAGTGCAGGAGGGCTCCCCTGCCACGCTCCTCTGCAGCTGTTGGGCACAGCTGTGCTTCCTGTCTGCCCTGCGGTTTACAGATGAACAGATAGGAAAGCCCGCACACTCAGGGGAGCGTAGAGTCGGAGACGTGGTCTGATCATCTGTTTCCTGACTGGAATCTGAACAGCAGCTAATCGTGTCAACTTCTGTTATTGGCAGGTGGAATTAGAAGCCAAGAGCGAAACCAAGCAGGAAAATTACTGGCTTATCCAGTACCAGCGGCTCTTGAACCAGAAGCCTCTGTCCTTGAAGCTGCAGGTAAGGACCCTGGTGCTCATCTGGCCCAGGAGCTAGAGGGATCTTTCCAGAGGTACCTCAGCCCAGCCCCAGTGGGAACCACTGCACTGGGGCTCCCGCATGTCAGCTTCCTGCCAGGAAAGTGAGTGAGTGTTCAGGATGAGAGAGGGAGGGGAGTGGTCCTTGCTGTGGGCGGGGCCGGTGGGCGGGGCCGGTGTGGTCCTGCTCCCTCTCTCCCTTTGTGCACACATGTGCACACATACACATAAGGCCTCCCTATGTAGCCCTGGCTGACCTGGAACTCACAGAGATCTCCCTGCCTCTGCCTCCTGAGTGCTGGGATTGAGGGTATGCACCACCACATCTGGCCTAACGCACACAATTTTTTTTTAATGTTTAGTTTTGGGGTTTTTGTATGTATGTGTTTTGTTTTATTTTGAGGCAGGGTCTCACTGTGTATCACTGGCTATCCTAGAACTTGTCATGGCTGGCCTTGAACCCACAGAGATATACATGTCTCTGCCTCTCAAGTGCTGGGACTAAAGGCGTGCGCCACCAAACCCAGCCTAGATTTACTTTTTTATTTGTATGTATGTATGTGTACCTGTGAAAGTTTATGTGCACCATGTGCATGCAAGGTGCCCCTGGAGGCCAGAGGGCATCAGACCCCCAGAACTGGAGTTACAGGTGGTTGGTTGTGAGCAGCCTGATGTGGGTGCTGGGAATTGAACCTCAGTCCTCTGCAAGAGCAGTAAGCTCTCTCAACCACGGAGCTCCGTGGCCACCATTCTGCTAACTCGCTTTCTCTCATAAGTACTGATGGACGGCTCCCCATCCATGCTCACACCTCTCCCCCTTGTTCTCAGGTGTCTGCGTAGTGCCCAGGATGGGGCCCGGCTTCTTGAGCCAGCTCCCTCCTGGTAGATGTTTAAGTGGCTTACCATTCAAGTGTAGAACAGCAGTGAACTCCCGTGTAAGGTGGATCTGTGCACTACACACACAATCCTCTGGGAAAAAGCCCAAGGACACTGTGTCATGTCCTCTGACTGTTTGTCCTATCTTGAAACCGTGGGGTCTTCTGTCCTGTCCACTCTGACCCCTTGGCCTTCCCCGTGGGGTCGTCCTGCAGGAAGAAGGCCTGCAGCGCCAGCTGGTGGCCCTGCTGGTGGAGCTGTCTGCCGAGCACTACCTGCCCATCTTCGCACACCACCGCATCTCGCTGGACATGCTGAGCCGAATGAGCCCTGGAGACCTGGCTAAGGTGGGTAGCCACTGGGGGACCCAGTCTGGCCAAGGGTTGGTGTATATTTTATTCCATTTTGGTGAGGCAAGGTCTATCCAGAACCGCTGCCCCGTCTGCCTCCACCCACTTGTGTGCTCAGCCTGTCAGCGAGCTAGGAAAGCGAGGAATGTGGATCCTGAAGTTTGGATCTTCACCTGTGCGGCTAGCACAAGTGCTTGGGAGGTTCTGCGCCAGCCTCAGCCTGTGCCACGGTGTCACACTCATAACTGCACCACTGCCCGAGCCCCAGTTACATCCTGACCCCACGCTGAGCGCCTTTCATGGAATTAATCCATTTCTCTTCAAAGTGAAATAATGCTGATGGTCACCAGCACCTCCCTGGGACCCACACATGCCTGGCATCCTTCTTAAGTGTCTCTCACACCAGCCATGAACCTGGAACTTGACCGTGAGTGGCTGGTAGCAGAGTCCCTGCTGCCATCCTCTTGGTGTCCTGTCTCATCTAGGACAGATGAGCTCCAGGTGCAGAAGGACTTTATGACACTGCGGGGCTCAGTTCACCGTGTGCGTGACGGTGGGGCAGGGTCCAGGGGAGCTGTGGTGCAGGTGACATCAGGAGTCCTGTCCCCCGAAGCATTCAGTAAATCACATGTGTCATGGATTTCCTTCGGGGGAGGGCTCAGTGATCGCCACAGTGACTGGTGAACCCAGACGTGAGTCAGCTCTCTACACAGCTGTGGTTCTGCCCTGCCGCGTGCTGACCCCAAGACCCTGTTTCCATTGAAGATGCCAGAGGTGGGGACGAGGCAGTCCTGTGGGCTTGGGCACTATATGTAGCTTAAAGCAGGAAGGCTGCCTCCCGCTCCTACCTGCCCTCAGCTCTTGGTCTTCTCGTACCTGTTCTGCCACAGGTGGGTGTCTCGGAAGCAGGCCTGCAACATGAGATCCTACGGAGGGCCCGGGACCTGGCAGATGCGGCCAGGGTCCAACCAGGTGCTGACTCTAGGCTCTTTCCAGGGCTGTTGAGAGGCCCAGGTGTATGTGGACTGTGGCTGGCAGCCTCAGGGCTACTGACTCCAGGGCAGCATTCTGGGCACAGAAAGGGCTTTGCCTGGGGGAGGGCTGGGGAATAGAGAGGCGCCTTTGGGGTGTTCCCATTCTGCTGTCACCTCATGGATTCATTCTGTTTCCTGTTAGAGGACGCCTGTCCTGCAGCTCCACCACTAGATGGCGCTATGGCCCCAGGCAAGTGACGGCTTCTCTCTGAGCCTCGTGTTTCTGAGCTCTGAAGGATACAGAGTGCAGTGGGCAGAGAATTCACTCCCATCTCACGGATGGAGACGTGGGACGGAACGAGGCTCAGAAAGAAAGAGCCTTTCCCTGCTCTCGGACTGGAGGCACCCCCTCCTTTGTCCTTCAGATCAGTCACTTTGGGGTGCACACAAACAAGATCTAGGGGTTGGGATCATCTCAGCACGACTCCTGCTTAGCCTGTCTGTCCCTCTGGTTTCTTCAGAGTTGGAACCACCCAAGGGTGAGGTCCTTGGTGTCCTGGAGCCCCCCGCAGCACCTCGGGAGCCTCCCGAGTCAGTGAGACCATCTGCTCCCCCAGCAGAACTGGACATGCCGACCTCAGAGTGTGTTGTGTGCCTGGAACGTGAGGTTAGTGTGCGGAGATGCCACAGAACCCAGGACTCCCGTGACCCAGACAGGAGCAATGCTAACATCAGTTCCTAGAGGTGGTCTCCCTCAGAAGAAGGATCTTTCCCTCAGCTTATTAACTAGATTAGGGGAAATTTCCCCTATTTTGACTCACCAAGAACATAGTTTTCCCTGCCAAGTCTTTTTACAATGTTGCAAAATTCGCACTGCAATAAGTAAAGATACCGTGCTTAAAGCCAGGTCCTCACGGCCTACGGGACAGACTTAGAAAAGTCGCCAGGAGCTGGCATGGGGGTGCACCCCTGTGATCCTCGCTTGTGAGAGGTAGACAGCAGGGTCCCTGTGAGTCCGAGGGCTGTGTAGCAAGACCTGTCACAAGAAACCCCAAAAGGCTGGAGAAATGGCCCACGTTTGCTGCTCTTCCAGAGGACCCAAGTTTGGTTCCCTGCAACCGTGATAGGTAGCTCACAACTCCAAGAGATCCAACCCCTCTTCCGCTCTCCGTGAGTAGCTACACACACGTCTCACACACACACAAATTAGGCGGCCACAGTGGCAGCTGGATAGCGCTCCACTTTCGGCAGACTCCGGGATGCTGTGTGGTGGAGAGCACAGGCAGAACGCTAACCAAGGCCTGTCCTTGGGCTCTGGAAATGACTCCCAGTTTCATGATATGCTAAATCAGTGTAGAGTTGGAGACTTCTCGGGACATGTGCGCACCATGGGGTCATACTAAAGCAGAGTGGGGCACATAGACAAGGCTAGTTGACCAATAAGGTTGAAGTTATTTTAGACCAGGCATCAGAATTTGGCAAGTACACAGAATAATTACAAATAGGCCAAGAGCCAGGTGGTGGTACACTCCTGGTATGTATGCCTCCCTTGGGAAGTGGAGGCAGCTCAGTAATAGGGCATTGGGCCTAGGGTTCAGCGGAGGAGAGGGCTGTAGGACTATAGGTATTTAAGTGCTGTTGTAATCCACAGAGAACCAGGCACAAAACTGCCAACAGGCCTGACCAGGTTTGCGCATCCACGGGCATGCTCCTAGGGCTGGGACGTGGTCAAGCTCCAGGACAGCCAAGCAGCCCCGCCACTCACCTGCTCTCTCCACAGGCCCAGATGGTCTTCCTCGCCTGCGGCCACGTCTGCTGCTGCCAACAGTGTTGCCAGCCGCTGCGTACCTGCCCGCTGTGCCGCCGGGAGATCTCCCAGCGCCTCCGGATCTACCACAGCAGCTGAGTGCACAGCTGCCTGCCAGCCGGCGCTGGCCCTCGCTTGGCACCATCCCCACCGCTGCTGGGCTTCCACACACCCATGTTCCCCAGACTAGGGCAAGACTGCCATGGCCTTTTGCCACCCCCTGCGGCCCCCACTGCCTTGAGCTCCAGGCAGGCAGGTGGCGTGTTCCTGGTCTGTGACACAGTGACACAGTCTGGACAGTGAACAGGAGATGGGCATATCTGCTAGTGATGGCATATCTGCTAGTGATGGAGCCTGTGGGACAGGGACAGGGTCCAGGCTGTGGAGGTGGCCATGCCACCAGCAGGACTCAGGAATCCATGTTACTAGGCAAGCCTTAGTGCCACAGCCAGCTGTCTGCCCCTCTGGAGGTGTCCTTATCTGTGGCGTGTACCAGCCATTGGCCTGAGGTGGGGCGGTGTTTGGGTCGGGGTGGGCTGTGCAGGACCACTCCCTCCCCAGCTCTTCTGCTGCTTTCCAGTACCCGCCCTCCCATATCTGCATCCTCAGCCCACAAGGCAACTTGATTCAAACAGGAACACCAATAAATCTGAGTTCCTCCCTGAGTGACCTGTGCGTCCTTGGGAGCTTGGGAGGGATGGAAGTGGGCTGGGCCCTAGGACCTCGAGGGCAGCTCCTCCAGGGAGAGGGAGCAGAGCTCTGGCACCTAGGCCAAAGGGAAGGCAGCACTGACATTTCCTGGTTGAGAGTTAGGCAATACCCTGTTCAACAAAGGGAAGAGGAACAGCCAGGGATGGCCTCATTATTTATAAGCAGCTTGTGCTCATGGGACAGGCTGTGTTCCCTGCAGTGATTATCCTAGGTAAAGAGACTGCCAAGCAAACTGACAAGACATGCTAACTCTGAGATGGGCAGGGGCAGTCCATGTGACATGACACCCTTCTGCCCTTGAGAATATGAAGTATGTGGCCTGCAGCATGTGCTCAGCAAGTACCACGTGATGAGCTCTGGGGGAATTAGCGTGGCCATTGGCACCTAGCACTGGCCTGGAGCCCACCCTCGTGGTAGGCACTCTGGAACTAATCGGCCATCAAGAGGACAGTTTCCTGAAAGCTCTGTGGCCTCTCCCTTCCCTCTGAGCCTCAGTTTCCCCCTCTAAAATAGGGCATTGTAAGAACGGGTTAGGGTCAGGTAGTGGTGGTGCATGCCTTTAATCCCAGCAGAAGCAGGTGGATCTCTTGAGTTCGAGGCCAGCCTGGTCTACATAGTGAGCTCCAAGATAGCCAGGGCTACCCAGAGAGACCCTGTCTCATGAAAAGGAGAACGAACAAAGGGGCACGGGTTAGAGAGAGCTCAGAAAGGTGGTTGGCCTTTTTAAGTTTGGATTCCCACACTCACGTGAGAGAAAGGCCAGGCGTGGTGGCAAGTGCAATCACAGTACTTCGGAAGCCCAGGCGGGTGGATCCCGGGGCTCACCAGCCAGCCAGGAATCCTAATTGGTGTTTCAGGCTAGTGAAAGACCTCGTCTCAAAACACAAGGTGGAACGACGCCTAAGATACTCTGACTTCTACATGCACATGTGAGTTCACACCTACACACACACAGGGACCTAGGAGCTCATATGATGAGTCCAAGAAAGCTGAGATGAATGGGGTCCCTAGACAACCTAGGCCCAGGTCTCCTGGACCCCAGCAGCACATAAGATGAGCTTTAAATAAAGCATTTATTGATGAGCAAAGCCTACACAGTTTGCATAGATTCTTCATACCATATCTGAAGGGCGACGGAAACCCCAAGGCACTAGAGGACATTGGAAGGAATTAGTGACACAATTGAGTAGACTGGGGGACTGGTGTCCCTGCGCGCCAGCCACATCCTGTAGGGAACAAGTCCATTGAACAAAAGATGGCTGGGAGGGGACCTCCTCCTGGGGGCCTTGAAGAGGCCTGTCTGCCTTGCTCTCCCAACCCCAGCATCCGAGTCTGCAGAGGCCCAAGGTGAGGGTCATGTATCAGAGTCATCCTTGCTTGGTGTGACCATCATGACCAAGGGGACAAACCCAAATGACTCACAAGGATGTTGGAAGAGGGGTCTGAAATTGTCAGGGTTAGGTGACAATTGTCAGGGTTAGAGTGGGCCCAGAGGCCACATAATGTCTTCAACAGTGTCTCAGAAAGAAAGCCACAGCCCTCGGTATCCCTCGGGAGCCCCGCCAGCTTCCTGGCAGGTAGTGAGTACCTTGGAAGAGCTGGGGAATGACAGCCCACATCCAAGCTCTGCCAATGAGCAGCTGTCTGCCCAAAGTGAGGGTGGGGGGAGCCAGGCGACAGGAGCCTGAGCACCCAAGATACTCCAGCTCTCACACACTTCCTTCACGTCTCCATCCGGCCTCAATCAGACACTCCCACTCCCCCACTCAGGACACTTCCCCTGCACAGACTACCACATTCTGGGCCTTTCTCACCCCATCTCAGGTCCCTTGCATCTCTCCCCTGCAAGACCCCAAGCCCCACCCTCCTACAGCAGCACCTAGCAAAGTGAGGCCAATGACAGCAATCTGTCTAGTCTTGGGGCCTGCAGGGAGGGCTGAGACAGACCGGGCCCCACCTCTTCCTCGCCACCTTGGTGCCAAGGAGCCCCAGAGTGAGATGACAGAGTTCACCGGCTTCAGGAACAGCACCAACGCGTTCACCATCTCCATCCAAAGACACAAGAACCACCATGAGGGAAACAGGTGACGGTAAGAAGGAGGGGGTCACCAGCCCCTTGCACAAAGAGGAAGCCCTCGAAATCAGACGTAGCATTGGAGACCAGCCCACAGAAAACAGGGCAGTAACAGGTATATTGAACCCCATAGGGTGACTTGGGTAAGCCAGACCCCTGAAGGTGCCACCACCCCAGCCACCTCCCCCACAAGGCACAGGCTGGGGTACCCTTCCCCAGAGATGAGGCTACAGTGCCCAAGGAGAAGCGGCCCAGTGCAGTGTCCAACAGAAGCCTGGAGGCAGTGCCTAGAACTCTGTCTGCACACCTGCGCTGTCCTCAGTGGTGGTGTGGATGGGAGGACGGCCACCAGGGCTGGACACCTGCTCCCCGGTCTCTTGGTCACTGGGCTTCGGGGTCTCAATGTCCATACCCTTTCCAGGTGGGAGATGCCCAAGGGGCGAGGCTGGCGGTGAGGAGGCCTCAAGGACTGCCATGGGCTGGGGGCTCTCCTGGACGGGGGCCCCATTGAGAAGGGGGATGGCTGGTGGGGGGCTCTCAGCCTGCAGATCCTGGGCCAGCAGACCTCGGAGCTCAGTGACACTGTCCGGGGATGCAGGGGAAGGCGGTTCAGAGCCAGCCTCAAAGGGCAGCCCTGACTCCTCGTCCTGGACCACGGACACCACCTGCTTGGCACGCCTGCGCTTTTCTGTGAGGTTGGCTGCCTCAGAAGGGCAGGGGCTGGGGCTGCCCCCACTGTCACTGCCGTCACCGCTGTCACCATACTGTTCGCCCCAGTCAATGGGTGCACCCTCGGCCAGCAGGTGGAGATTGGGGTCACTGTTATGCAGAACCACGCTGTCCCGGTAGAGGTTATGTTTACGCTGCACAGCGGCCTCCTTCACAGCTGCAAGGCCACAGGAGAGAGGCAGTGTTCTTAGCACAGGGACTTGGGCCCCGCCTCACCCCAGGCCTCCCTGCTGCAAAGCTGTAACTCAAGAGCAGAGCCCATGCCCCTCACTGACCACGCTCAGCAAAGCCAGGGACCAGGGAGGGAAGTGGGCACAGAGAAGCCAGTGGTCCAGCCCAGCCTCCTCTTGGAGTCTTGGGTCTCTCTATGTCCTTTAGCTAACGCCACCTAAGACTCCTGTGGGCCGCCCCTCCTCGCTCACCCTGCAGGATGTCCTTCATGACGGTCTGCAGCACTACCTCCTCGTATGTGTTCTCCACCAAGATGAACCTGGCGAAGTCCTCAAAGATCAGTTCCTGGAAGCGTGGCAGCTCCTGCCGGGGAAGCAGGTAGAGATGGGTCAGAGGCTTTACCCCGTTGGCCAGTCCCTGAAGGGCTAGGGCAGGCTGGGACTCACCGACTTGCAGGTGGGGGCCAGCTTTTTGAGCAGAAAGGGAATGGTGATCTGCAACAGCGCCTCCCGGAAGAACCTCTTGCGCACGGAACTGCTGTCATAGTCGTATTTCTGCCGGGAAGGACGCAGAAGCAACCTGGGTCAGGGGCTCCCCTAGCTGGCGAGAGGGTCTGACCCAAGCCCAAGCGCTCATGTGCACCGAAGCACGGGTGCTTCCTGGAGACGGGCTGGGCAGTCGGCTCTGGGTTCAGGGCCATGCAGCTTCCAGCCCAGTGGAGTCAGGCTCACCTTCAGCACCCGCTCCAGAATCCGCTGGATGGACTTGCACAGATCCTCCTTGGTAGGCCCCTTCCCCAGCTCCTGGTGCAGGAGCGTTTCGAAGGTGTACACAGCATTGTCCATTTGCTGCAAGGCATACAGCAGGGCTTGTGAAACCCTCCCAGGGTGACCAGAGCCCTTCCTGCACCCTTGGCCAGTCTCCCCACCCCACAGCTGCCACAGAGCAATCCGAGATGGTCTGGGTTGTATGCTCACTGGGTGTCTAGATGCAGGTGTCTGCCTCAGAGTACAGAAATCCCAGGAAGGGGCTAGGCAGTAAGGACAACTTCCGGGGATGGGGAGTCGGGGGATCCTAAGGAGGTCTAATAGGCAGCCAGAGTCAGCCAGGTGAGCAGGAGGCAAGGTGCTCAGAGAGGCACGGGAAGGGGAGAAGGCCTCCCTCTCGTGGTGATGGGGGCCATGGAAGGCAGCTATTGGGGTGCAGGCTGGTGGGGACACACCTCTCGCATGTGGATCTGGGCTCGCTGCTTGAACACAGATGTGCTAGACACGTCAAAGCGCTGCTGCAGCCCATCCAGCCGCAGAGGCTGCATCTTCTCGTAACAGCTCTGCATCTTCAGGGGGTGGTAGGCCAGCTGAGACAGCTTCTCCATGTACTGCAGGGGGCAGGGCCACATGGGTGATTGCACAGCCCCCCACACCCACACCCTGCCTGGGCCTGGCACCAGCTACCCAGGGGTGGCCTTCTGGAAACTGCCCATTAGCAGACACCTGGGAGCGCCCAGGAGAGAAGGGAGGAATATCTGAAGGCATTGCGGTGTTGAGAGAGAGGCCAGCCCCGGCACTGGAAGACAGTTCTCACCCCTCAGGTAACCTTGGGCAAACACCCGGCCCCTCTGAGCATCACTGTCTTCAGTCCCAAATCAGGATTTCTAAGGCCCTTCTGGGTTCCCAAATTCTGATTATGACTGCCTGGGATTCGCAAACTTGAAGTCTAAAGGAGGAGACTAAAGCTCAGGACCGATTCCAGACCCAGGCAGCCTACGAGGGATATCCACGCTAAGAGCTAGGTCAAAAGGGCCAGTAAAGAAGATGCATTGCTTCACTTGTGGGGTGTGCGACCACAATGTTAACGATGCAGCTCACCCCTGACGCTTACCTCCCCTGCCCCTTCCTTCACCCCTCACTGTCTATCACTCTTACACTTTAGCAACCATCCTGCCTCATAAAGGCTGATGGTAAAGGGTCAAAATACCCA